CCTAGAGCCAGACATCCTGGAATGTGAAGTCAAGTGGGCCTTGGAAAGCATCACTACGAACAAAGCTACTGGAGGTGATGGAATTCCAGCAGAGCTATTTCAAATCCTGAAAGATGATGCTGTGAAAGTGCTGCACTCAATATACCAGCAAATTTGGAAAACTCAGCAGTGGCCACAGGACTGGAAAAGGTCAATTTTCATTTCAATCCCAAAGAAGGGCAATGCCAAAGAATGCTTGAACTACCACACAATTGCACTCATCTCACATGCTAGTAAAATAATGCTCAAAATTCTCCAAGCCAGTTTTCAGCAATACGTGAACCGTGAACTTCCAGATGTTCAAGCTGGCTTTAGAAAAGGCAGAGGAACCAGAGATCAAATTGCCAACATCCTCTGGATCATNAAGCAGAGACATTACTTGGCCAACAAAGGTTCATCTAGTCAAAGCTATGATTTTTCCAGTGGTCATGTATGGATGTGAGAGTTGGACTGTGAAGAAAGCTGAGTGCCGAAGAATTGATGCTTTTGAACTATGGTGTTAGAGAAGACTCTTGAGAGTCTCTTGGGCTGCAAGAAGACTCAACTAGTCCATCCTAAAGATCAGCCCTGGGTGTTCATTGGAAGGACTGATGTTGAAGCTGAAACTCCAATACTTTGGCAGCCTCATGCGAAGAATCGACTCACTGGAAAAGACCCTGACGCTGGGAGGGATTGGGGGCAGGAGGAGAAGGGGACGACAAAGGATGAGATGGCTGGATGGCATCACTGACTCGATGGACATGGGTTTGGGTAGACTCCGGGGGTTGGTGATGGACAGGGAGGCCTGGTGTGCTGTGATTCATGGGGTCGCAAAGAGTCAGACATGACTGAGCAATTGAACTGAACTGAATTTTAGCATACCCAGTCTACTGATTATCTCTGCAACAAACGGCTTGATATACATATAGGAAAAATTTGAGATTACATACTCTTTTTTGAGTATTACTATATTCTATATAAAGAAGCATAAAAATCTACTTGTAATCTAAAAATACAGGCTAACATCGGGTTTAGAAACATCTAAACTCAAATTTTGTACATGAATGGCAAACATTTACAAGGATTATGGGATCCTTCCCTGGTGGCTCAGATGGTAAAGAATTCTCCTGCAATGCGGGAGACCTGGGTTCAGTCCCTGGGATGGGAAGATCCCCTGCAGGAGAGCATGACAGCCCACTCCAGTGTTCTTGCCTGGAGAATCCCCATAGCCAGAGGAGCCTGTGGCAGGCTACAGTCCATGGGGTCACAAAGAGCCAGATATGAATGGGCAACTAAGCACATAGGTACTAAGTGGAAACAGTTAACTACTTAAAAAAATTATAAAGCCATCAGATGTTCAAACTTCCCCTTTCCTTCAGATTAAAAGATAGATTTATTTATACAGCTGAAACAGGACCCTATATGTTTAGTCTCCTTGACTATTCTCCAAAGATTATCAGAAATGAATAACCTAACTAATCAGATATTTTGACAGGGCCTGCATTGATTATGAGAGTGATATTTTTTTACATGATACTCTTAAATAGTAACCTATATAATTCATGTGACTATAAGCAATATTGTTTTATTTTAAAGTTATCCAAAAGCTGTTCAACAATATAAGAATACAGAATATGATAGTTTTTATAAAAGTGCTTATAAGTTCTCTTCGGTCATATAGAATGCCTAAGTAGTTTTGATTGTCAAACTGAGTCTGAGAATACCTATGATAAAAAAAAATACTTCTAATAATTTAAATATCTTATGGAAAACACTTCATTCTTTACAGTTGGTTTAAATGTCTAACATATAAAAGTTCTATAAGTGGAAGAATTAAGAAATAGGATTTTTACTAGACCAAATGAATATTTTGATGTAAAATGTCTTAATTTGTATTAACTCTCCACTTTTTTTCGTGCTGCCAAAATCCTAACTTATTTCGATTAATAAGAAGCTAATCCCTATGGTTCAGTGAACTTTACTAATAAATAATGATAAAATATGAGACATGTTCTGTGAGTCCCACAGATGTGCTGAGCCATGTTCATGGACTTCATTCTCCTTTGTATGATGCTCCTTTTAGTTTTTTTTTTTTTTTTTGTAGCTATCAGGACTTCCTGTTCTGTCCCCTGAGGAAATGCAATGCAAGGATCAGACTTCATCTTAGTATATCAGCAAACAATGCCCAAAGCTTAACTCAGTTGCTCTTCTGTTGTTATTTCTAACAAGATGAGCTCCTCTGAAATTATTTTCTTCAAGAATTTTCCTCTCATATTTTACCATCTGAGTTTGAATGGTGATTTTCTTGAACTGTATTTTTTTTTTAATTTCCAATGTTTTCTACTAAAGATTGTATACCACTTCAGAAAACATGAATTTATAAAAAATACTTCAACAAATTTGACATAACTCAAAATGAGAGCACTGATGTTTCACAAAGAAACGTTACTGAACTTGGCAGAGTTAAAAACGACAGTTAGAGATGGCTATCCCGAGGAGTGAAGACCTCCATAACTTAAGAGGTCAGGTCGAGAGGTTTGCTCCGGCATCCCTTCTTGGGCAACAGTCGAAATGCAGTCCAGGGCCAAGGAGACCCAGGACACGTCCCATGTTCCTGAAGGAGACCCTTTCTTAAGTGAATATAAAAACCCCTTGGTAAACACATGTGAAGAACACTACCTTTGTGTTCGGAGTGATGGTGAAATGCAAAGCCATGGCATCAAGAATTTTTTTCCGCTTGTGTGATCAAATTTTCAGTATGTAGTTATAAATAAGCTTTACTCTTGCCTTTATTAGGGGACAACTGCTTCCTAACAAATTACACCCAAAACTTGGCTTAAAACAAAGTTTATTATCTCATAGATACATGAGGAATCAATTCAGGAGTGGCTTTTTTAGATGCTCTGCTTCAGGGCGTCTCATGAGGCTGGAAGGATAGAGGTTATACTCATCTTGAGGTCCATTAGGGAGAAACTGCTTCCAAATCCACTTCTGTGGTTATTGGCAGGATTTAGCTCCTCGTGGGCTGTTGGCCGGAGCCTCCTGCAGCCTTGTCCTCTGGGCCTCTACTTAGGGCAGCTCCCAACCTGGCTGATGGCTCACTGCGTCAGTGAGATCAAAAGAGAAGCCTATCTTTTGACCACACAGTATCAGAAACAACAGCCATCACCTCTGCTGGATTCAGCTCATTAAAGTCTAGTCATTCGGTTCTACTTACACTTAAAGGGTGTATGCCAGAGGTGAGACCAGTGGGGGCCATCTGGGCGCCCAGCACATGCCAGACACACCCACCTCCTCCCCAGGCCCCAGACTCTCATCACGCTGCAACATGAGCTCTAGGTCTAGAACCTCATTACTGAAGTCAGGTAGGGTGGGTGGGGCTCCCGGGGTGTGATTCTTCAGCACAGGTCCTCTCCATCTGTAGACCCACAGGAGCGAGTTATGTCCTGACATACAGTGATGGATAGGCATAGGATAACCATCCTAGGACACGTCTGTCCACCAAGGGAGGGCAGGGAAATGCAAAGCAGCCCACACCAGCCCACGCTCGGACGGAGGGATCAGACGGGGCCTGATCCCCAGGAGGCGGCCCGCCACTCTGTCTGACCGACCCTAAAAGTAAAGGACACGAAAGTTTAGAGAGAGCTTTTATGAAGCTTGCAGTGTAGCTGATTTTTTGGTATATATTCTATTGCTGTGAGTTTCTATTACAATTATTTTCTTTGACTTAGGGTAAAAATTCTTTCAGATTTATAAGAATTTTGGAGGAAATTGCTAAACCATTCTATCTCCCTCTATCGTAACTATAGATCTGACCACTGACTCTTAGTTTAATTTTTCCACACTTTTCAAGATGTTTTCCTTAAATTTAATGCAACATGTTAATTAATTTAATGCTCCATGCTGGCTATTCTAGCTACATTCTGTATTTCTCCTTCAATTTATCAATAAGTTTTTCATTTGCATAAAACTCAAGTTATATTCCTTGATATGACATGTCTTTGAGTATGAGAATTGTTCCAGTTTCTTTTTGGCACTATTGACTGAACTAGAGAAATAGTTTTTCTACTTCTTTATGCTGTTTAAAATGAAAAAAAGTATGAAAGTGAAAGTCGCTCAGTCGAGTACGACTCTTTGTGACCCCATGGACTTATACAGCCCATGGAATTCTCCAGGCCAGAATAGTGGAGTGGGTAACCTTTCCCTTCTCTGGGGGATCTACCCAGTCCAGGGATCGAATCCAGGTTTCCTGCATTACAGATGGATTCCTTATCAGCTGAGCTACAAGGGAAGCCCCAAAATACTGGGGTGGGTAGTTAATCCCTTCTCCAGGGGATCTTCCCAACCCAGGAATCAAACCAGGATCTCTTGCATTGCAGGTGCATTCTTTACCAACTGAGCTATCAGGGAAGACTATATAAACTATAGTCTACTATATAAAGTCTATTTTTTTCTTGATTACACATTTCCTCAGAATAACAGAAATGAAGAACAGTGATACAAACTAGCAACTGTAGGTAGAGTAGCTTCTACATCAATTACCCAATTACTGAATGATACAGTCTCAGATAAAGAACTTGGAAATTTTACTGAATGTGCAGTTTGAACACTTCTTTTGAATGAACAGTATGTACTGGATGCTTTGTGATACTTGGGAATCTAGCTTTATACTTTAAACATATGTAATTACTACTAAATAAAAAGTATCTATAAAAGTATATCCAAACAAGAACATACACTAGGATGTTATAAAATTTCTGTATGCTCTTAGAATGACGTCAAAATAATGAGAACAGAAACTTATAACAATGTACAGCAGTATCTATGAACTTGCTGACATAATTACCATATTTTAATAGTCCTTCATATTTTTATTATTCTATAGTATTTCAAGAATCAATTCTTTTTTCTTTAAATAAGTAAATCTATGATTTTATGAATCATCAGTCTCAATATGGAGAACAGGCCTTTCAGAGAGAACATATAAATGCAATATTTCTCTTTATTGACATGTCACTAGCTTTTCTTTTTATATGGTAACATTGTATCAGTTTGTATCTTCAATGACACATGAAAGATCCAAAATCAAACTGGCAGTCTCCACAGCCACCTGCAGGCCACTAAGCTTTGCAGTAAAACAGTCCAAGGTCAGAGTGTCGGCTGAGCCTTTGGCTTCAGGGGAAAGGCAGGTTTGCGGTGGGAAGGGATGGCGAGCACTTCTCAGGAAGGACCAGCTGAGTTCTTCCTGGCTGCTGTAGAGTCCACAGCCACATCTGGAAGGCAAATCTGGCCAGTTCACAGCAGAAGGCAAGTTGGCCTGAACTGACCAGAAGTGTCCATACTTGCCATCGGTAAGAACTTCACCTCCGTCGTGCTCTAAGGAGCCAGCGAGAGATTCAAGTGCACTGCAGAACGCTTCAGTGATCAGCTGGAGCTCTGTCTGAGAGCATCTCTCACCTCGAAGAATGCTTTCTGGCTCATTACGGGTCTAGAGAGTAACAAAACCATTGAAAATACAGAACAGAGCAATTAGGATGACAAAAATGTTTCTGAAAAATACTTGACCAAATGCTTCATCATACAGTACTTGGGGTTTGGCACAAGGCTAATGGGCAAGGATGGGCCAGCTGGCCAGGCTAATCCATTAACCTGGTTGTTATAGTAAAAGCACCCACTACCAGTCATTTTATCAGAATGAATGACTCAGAATTAACCCCACCATCAATTTGTTCTGAAGGATTGCCAGTAGTGCCTTTGTAAAACATGAAAGACACAGCAAAATAAGTGAATCACAGGCTTCTATACACCCAGAAGGAAGCTTGTGAAGACTAACGAAGTCACAAATGAAGTACTTATTTATACTCAGTAAATGTTGGAGATTTTTTTAAAATGCAAATACGTGTGTTATAACTAAGACAAAAACCATTTAGGGACATATATCATTTTCACTTTAATGTTTAAAAAATAACTATTCTTCTCTTTAATTAATGACAAGGTTATATACTTTTGAATTGCTTTTGTTCCACCGTTCTAAAAAGTCTATCTCAGAAATTTCATGATAGAAAAAATAACACATTAACAAACTCATCACTGAATGATCGTTAAAAATCCATATCCTAATTACTCAGAAGCAATGACCATTTTTTCCTTTTGCCCAGGAGAGTGGAACCAGATATCATCTCTATTGTACATTCCCTCCCCACATTTTCAGTGCTATGTTGTTTCTTCAAAATCCTACTCAAGATACTGTCCTTCTCCAAAAGACTTTTTCCAGTTTACTCAATTCCATTTGCAAACTATATTATTGTCTCTTCAGCATCAATAGATTGGCAATGGTTTTGTTTTTCATAATGTACATTTTGATAACTTTTCATGAAGAAGCTTTATATTCATACAGATTTTAAGTTATTTGGGGAAGCAAGGCAGGGCATGTCTATGGAAAACATTTACACACTCACCAATCCCAGGCATCCCAGAGACTCTGCACTCCTGACTGACTAAAGAACCAACTGCAAGCACTTGGAAAACACATACCTTTTTCTGGCTACTTTCAAAGAAAGTAGGTCAGTGTTAATGAAATAATTAATGAGAAAGATGAGTGTGACATTTATCTACTATTAGGATACGGAGTCTCATAGATTGATAAAAACAATTCTATTTAATAGAATTAACATGTATCATAAATGAATACCATTTAAAATAACAGAATTTAATAATTAGATGCTTTAATAAATGAAATTGTTTTTTCTGGAATATCCAGAAGGTACTGAAGTCTTTTTGTAGAATCTCAACACTTTCATCATGAATATCAATTATTACTGCATCTTAGCAGTGGAGACAGAGAAGGCAATGGCACCCCACTCCAGTACTCTTGCCTGGAAACTCCCATGGACAGAGGAGCCTGGTAGGCTGTGGTCCATGGGGTCGCTAAGAGTCGGACACGACTGAGCGACTTCACTTTCACTTTTCACTTTCACACATTGGAGAAGGACATGGCAACCCACTCCAGTGTTCTTGCCTGGAGAATCCCAGGGACGGGGGAGCCTGGTAGGCTGCGTCTATGGGATCACACAGAGTCGGACACGACTGAAGTGACTTAGCAGCAGCCGCAGCAGCAGTGGAGATCTCTAGGATAACTCCCATTAACAGAACGCTCATCTCAATACAAATGAACTTACTTAGAAAACAGAGACAGACTCTCGGACTTTGAGAAGGAGCTTACGGTTGCTGGTGGTAGTGGGGTGGAAGGGATAGTCAGGGAGTTCGAGATGGACATATACACACTGCTGTGTATAAAATGGATAACCAACCAACAAGGACCTCCTGTATAGCACATGGAACTCTGCTAAGTGTTATGTGGCAGCCTGGACAGGAGGGGGTTTTGGGGGGAGAACAGATACATGAATATGTACGGCTGAGTCCCTGTGCTGTCCACCTGAGACTGTCCCAACGTTGTTTGTTAACTGGCTACACCCCAACACAAAATTAAAAAGCTAAAAAAAAAAAAACTAGAAAAAAACCCAGAATGCTCATTTCAGCAGGCAGTGTATTTAGACAATCCTCAAAGAATGTGATTGTCTGCTAAAAGGTTGGATTAATAATCATTGTGATAAAGATAGGAGCTTATATTTTCGAGTATTATTTTCCTCAAGTGTTTTTAAATACAATATTGATTTCAAGACTAGTGAGAAATTAAGCATTAAAGGCTCCAGAGTATTATTGTCTTATTATCTCATAAAATGCATGTTGCTGAGAATTCAGATAATTTAGGAGGGACTATCTAACCTACCTTGTTTCTGATATATGCCACCAAATGAGTTTCAGTACAGCCGCCTCCCAACAAAACGTACGGTTCCTTGAGTGTTAACTGCAAAGCATGCAGTGCTGTTTGACACGTGAGCTAAAAAAGAAACAGCCAGCAGAATCTGACACTGACACCAGAAACACAAAGAGATACAGTCGCGTTTTCAAGGCAACTTAAGACAGTGGACTCAAGGAGCCGGACTGTAATTGCAAAAGAGTGAAACCTATGTCACCAAGGTTGTCATGCGATGAATACATTTTGGAATAATGAAAATTAGAAATGAAAGAATACTTTAGCTAGATGTTTGTTTTCATGGACTGGACTAATATCCTCCTTCATATACATTTAAGTTCTTCAAATTGAGATTCACAAACACAACTGGATCAGCACAGTGCTAATATTTCTAACAAAAACATCTGCGTCTAAATAAATTAGCTCTATAAATGCTATATAGAATTTATTTCAAGTTGCTATGGAAACTATCCAACCCAGCAGCAATAAAAACACACAGACCTTGAATATTCACCAGGCTATAGCCTGAGTATCCATTCTTCCAGTCTGTGACCAGTACCACAGGGCATCACTTTCCTTGTATAAAAACTGCATGTGTTATTGCTGTTTGTGAACATCTCTGTTAAGAGGTGGATGATGGATATAACTGGGGAACCTATTTCTGAGTGAATTACTCATACACATTAGCATCGAGTACACAATTCAAATTAATTTCTTAAGAAAATTTCCCATCAAGGACTTTTACATTGCTTGTAAATTACTAGAAATAATAAGAGGCAACATATGCCAAGTTTTTATATCATAGGAAATTAAATCAGCTTACTTATAAATGTAATTCTCACATTTTGGTTGTTTTTGCTTTCTACACCACTTAGGGAAGTTGTGAAGGAAAAAAAGCACAGCTGACTGATGTGAAAAAAATTATAGTACCTATCTGATTCTTTAATCCCTGCCCCAATCCCTAGATAAGGAATTCAACATTTATTACCCACCTTCAGCTCATCCCAGGCTGTGTCATTTCTGTTGCAGAGAAGCAGGCTACAGACAGTTGTTTTGTTAGGAATAAGATGAAAAAAATGTTTGCAGCCAAACTTTGCAATGCACAAATCTTTTACAGTTCCATAACTACTGGGAGAGATTGAGCCCAAGGAACCAATAGGCCGTGTTCCTATTTTTTTAAAAAGTTTAGAAAACACAAAATAGATGAATAAACATGGAGCTTACAACCATTTAAAATTACAATATTCATTCCTAGCTAATATAAAAGTTCCAAAAGCATTTAAAATATGAAATGTAGGATAAAGAAATAATAAGATGCATCTTCTTAAACCTATAAATAGTACTCTATTATTTAAATGATGTGCAAATAAAGCAGTGGTTCTTTTGATTTACAGACTTTGAACATTTGTTAGAAGCAATTCTGCACTCTCCAGAAAAAGGCATGCACAATTTTGCATACATTTTCAGGAAGTCCGGGAACTCTGGAAGTCCAGTCAGGGATCACAGACCCCAAATTAACAACCACACTAATCTGAAATAAGGATGAGATGAGGAGACAGGCTATTTTTAAAGGGTGTTATTATTTTTACCTTAAAACTCACAAACTAAGCTATGCAGATAGCTGTATGGCTGAATTCCTTTGGCGCTCCATTTAGTGAACATACAGGAATTTTTTTTGCTTTGCCGAACAATTGTTTGTATGTAAACAACTACCTAAACCATGCCAAAATAAAGTATGCGATCTTCTTATTTCATTTTGTTTTTTTTTTATTATATCTTGCCCTCCCTCCTGTATAGGTAAAATAATACAATTTTACAAAACACAAATTAATAAAAATACAAATGAAGTAGAAGTTAGGATAACTTGAAGGTTTCTAAAATCTCTAAATGTAGTAAAGTTATATAAGAAATGGCAACAACCTTTTAAGAAGTAACAATACTAGTTTAAGGTCTTAAAACTGTAATTCACCAATGCACCTCCTTGGGCCAGTTTCCTCTTTCAAACGAATGGAATTAAAACAATAATGTCTAAATATTCTTGCAGCTCATGAACACTTTCACTTCTTTGAATATCTTTTCTTTACTTCTGAAGTCTCAAAGAACAAGGAATACTTGAGAGATTTAAAATTAAGAAAAAGAAACAAACCCTACATCTTGTACAACACTTCAAGGGTAGAACCAACAGAAAATTAAGGAAAGGCTCAGCTTTCCTGCTGACCAGCCTCTGATGTGGAGCAAATCACTGAACTCTTCTTGGTGGGCTTCCCACAGGAGAGTAAAGGGGGGATGATCATGACTATTTCACAAATCAATCAAAACAAGTCAAAGGTTAAAAATATTTTGAAAGCCATGACAAGCTTCATACCCACCAGTCCACCAAGCACGATAATCCCACTACTTATCCTAAACTATCCAAAAAGAGGAATTATGTTTGAAGGGGGATTGGGAGGTAATGTCAACCTAGATAAGATGGGTGAGGCTCAAACATACTTCACCTATTGTTTAATGAAGTTACAGGGGCCTGATAAGAGTTTTTCTCCCCCCTTTCTCTTTTGTCTCAAGAAAGTGTCTGCCCCCAAGATCCAGGACTACAACTCTGGCTTTATGTAAAAGTGTTGGTTGCTCAGTTGTGTCCAAGTCTTTGCAACCCCACGGACTGTAGCCTGTCAGGCTCCTCTGGCCAAGGAATTCTCCAGGGAAGAATACTGGAGTCGGTAGCCATTCCCAACTCCAGTGAACCTTTCCAACCCAGGGATCAAACCCGAAATCATTTGGGGGAGCAGAGAACGGCATGTTTATAAAAGAAGTTCGCGCTCTCCCCAATCCCAGGCACCCATTGGTAGCTCTGCAGTCTCTTGATAACAGTCCTGAGCAACCAATGAATTAGCTGCAAATACCTGGAGAACCCTTAACTTTTTGTATCCATTTGCAAGTAAAATAGGTCAGTTCATGTTCTACCACACTCTAGTTACCAGTGGGATAAAAATCAATTGTGGGCTGGTGTGGAAACCCAGTGCCCACTGACATTGTTTCTATGGAAAAATTCTTCAGAATTTAAAAACTGACTTCATAATATTTAATACTCAATATTCATAACTTGAAATCACCTGCTCATGGAAAGCTCAGGGATGTGGGTCTGACCCACAACATCACTAATGAGTTTCAAAGAACAACTGCCACTATTTCTTAACAATTTCCACTCTGATGATCATCTGACAATAGTCCAGAGGTAGCAATAGTTCAGAGATACTAGGGATTCAATACTGGCACTCACACTTCTCTGATGACTTATAAAAATAGTCAACTTTAACAGTTTTACCAAAATTTATTAAACTCTTAAGTCTAACCAGTTATAAATTGAAATTTATCCAAATGAAATGATTCTGATATGTTGTCAATGCAGTTAAGAGATATTGAAAAGTGGCTCAAATCAGGAACTCTTTAACTTGTCATTTCTCTTTGTCTCTATTAGGTGAGTACCAACCTGTTTCCAATTTGCCAGGTTTGTAAAATACAGTGAAATTCTTGCCTGTTATAATTTTCTATGTTAATAAATATATTATTGTTAATTCAACAAACATTTTAGAACCCCTACTATAGACCAGGCTTGTTTTAAGCACTAAAAGTAAAAGGCAACCCCGGCTCTCAAGCTTAGCTGGAAATATCTGGGATATTTAATCATGTGCTAGCTTTAAACAAACATACACCCTAATAATACACACACACACCCTAATTAGAAACCACTATTTAGGCAGAAGTACAGTTGATTGTTGGAGTTCGATAATACAAAGTGACTTAAGAGCTTTGTAAAACTCAAGTAGAAGAATTTTAAATTATAAGACTTTATATGATTGTAAGAATATTAGATTTCTCAATAATCTGTTGAATGTTCGGGGGTTAATAGCTGTAAATTATGACAGGCTCTGCAGTACATTTGGGGCTGGAAAATACCTACAAAGTAGTCATCATCACTCAATTTTTAATAAGTGAACAATACAGAATCCTTTTCAGAAACCACCTTTGCTGCCAGAAATGATACTCACACACGCATTGAGGTTGGCAGCTTTTCAAATTGTTCAATATGTTAACACAACACACACCAAGAATATCTTTGCTCAAGGGAAGTGTGATTTATTAACCATAAAGGGCAAAGACCGAAAGAGCACCTTTTACCTGTCACTTTACTCAGCGGTTCCATCAAAGACACTCCAATTCTGTCTACAGCGATAATCTGATGAGTTCTGAGAAACTGTTTCAGAGACGGGTGTATAACTTTTTGACACAAGACAAGATCTACATGGTCACTAACCAGTTGTTTTCCTAGGTTGAACAACTGGTCTAGAGCTGCATTTTCAAGAGAAACTCCGTAACTGACCAACAGGGTTCCTTCTCCAGTATCAGAAAGGTCTCCGGACAAAGACACGCAAAAGACTGCCACCTTGAAGGAATCTGATTTTTTGATAGGTAGTATCTTCATCAGTTGAACTTCTGATACTTCAATAAGTATTCCGGGTAACACGGTAGAATCTATAACCCTTTGCCCTTTTAAAGGGACAATTATACTCTTTCCTAAAATGACGTGCTCTTGGGCGTTCTCTGGAATGGTAAGCAGAAAGGCTCTCAGAATCAGAGTACTGATGTGGTCAATCTCCTTTGCGATGAGCATGCAGGCAGGTTTACTGGTTAATATGCTGCGTACCAAACTCAGGAGGATCTGAATGCTACCAAAGTCGACTGGGATTCGGCAAGCACAGACCTCAGATTTCAGGTAACTGGTGCAGAGGCTCAAAAGATGCTTATTTAACCTAATAACCGTGGTGGGTGTCAAGCCTAGTCTCTGAACATTTTCGACGAGGTTGCAGCACAGGATGGCGGTGAATAAGCCGGCGTCGCTGAAGCAGGCCACGTGACTGCGCACGGCGGCCGTCAGGACCTTCAGCACCGGGTGGCTGACAGGCAGGCCGGCGAGCAGGGCGGCCGAATGCGAGGTGGCGGCCACGGGGCCGCCGCGGCCGTTGTGCAGCTGCTTCAGCCGGCCCGCGGGGCCGTAGCACGACGCGACGAGGCCCCGCAAGGCCGCCAGGCTGGCCCCGGCGCGCCCGCCCGGCAGGGGTTCCCTGCTGCAGATCGAGGGCTTTTTAGCTTCTAAACGGGACATGTTACTGCAAGCGGTAATTTGCGAAGAAAGCTTTTATTTTGTTAACCAGAGTTTTCTATTCATTGTATTGTCGAGGGTTTTAACATTTTAACAAGATTATCTTTCAGGAATCAGAGTTCGGATTTACAGCATGGTGGCTGTAAAATTAAATACTGAGCTCCTTGCTTATGAAGCTAATCAGCACATAATGATCAATATAATGACATTTTAGTAATTCCAAATATTTATTTTACTCCATTATTCAAATTCTTTTGTTTGCCTTCAGGCTGAGACTTTACAGACTGTTTTGCAGCCCTCTGTATAAAATACGTCCCAAGATGGACACCTATGAAGGAAATCACAGCTACAAGAAGCCAGTTCTTTCTGATCCAACTGCTATTTTTCATCTCTTCTTTCTAGCTCAAGCTCTGACTCAGAGCTGCTTCTTTCTATAAGAAATAAAAATAAAAAATATTTTAGAGAAGTAATCCCAAAACATTTTATAATTGAAGTTTAGTAATTAATTTGAACGCTCTGCTCCTTCTTTAGAAAAAGGAACTACCCACAGGTACAAATCTCCAGAAAATGAGAAATATAAATTAAGACTAAAAACACCCATTTCTTTATTCTTCAATGCCTTTCTACAGTGAAAAGTACTGATATTTTAGTAATTCTGGAATGAACAACACAGCCAGAAAGCCTATGGTACAGTTATTTTAATGTGATATGCTTCTAGAAAAGAAATGGTATGTATATAGTAAAACTCATAGAATCTGGTCTCGACATCCCAAATGTTTTTATTCTCTAGCATCAAGATATAGTGATGTTTTTTTCTCTAACTTTGGTTTGCTTGGAAACCTTAGGTCTGAATACAAGTGCATTTGTATCAAATCCTGTCTGTAAATAATTATGAAAATGAGATAACCGTCAGGATTCTTAATATAGACACTATCTAATGTACAGTCTTCATCTAGCTAGACAAATCTGTACAACACGTTTACTGAAGAATAAACCATGTTTGAAATATGTGGCTAAAGTCAGAGCAATCTTTTGTAGTTTCACCCTATCGATCAATGATACTCAGTGTTGATGTCTTACAACTTACCCACTCCCAAACTATGGCTTATGACAATAAACACAAAAGCCAGGGATTGTGCTGGATGACAAGGAGGAAGACAGGACTGGATTGGCAGTCTGACCTCAAAGAGGGTAAATAATCTAAAATGCTGCCGTTTACCAAGTGTGCTGCACTTGTACTAGTCTCCTTAATGAGGCTGGAAGAAGTGAGCTGGAGGCGTAAACTTCTGATACTATAATAATGTGTGGAAAGAATAAAAATCTCTGGTCACACACCTTATCTGTTGAGGTTTGGTGCTTTGAAGGTAAAGGTTCAACCGATTATTGGTTATTTTCAGGAATATACTAACCATGCTAACCACTGGGACAGTGTTCAGCATAAATAAGACTAACTGAACTACTCAGACTATAGTCCTGCCCGGAGTAGACTATGGCAGAGTATAACACAGACCAGGAAGGTGATCTGAAGACGTGCAAGGAAGATGTGAAGAGAACAAAGGAATGTTATGCAAAGTGTTATTTTGGTTATCACACCTCCTAATTTAGTTAGAGGGCTGTAACCATGGCAACTGGGCCCAAATAAAGTGAAAGCTAGGATGGCCAGCTTTCTCACTGTAATGATAAAGCTATAGTTGTCTCTTTTTATAGCATGAGGAAAAAAGTTTCTGTTCATCTCATAGGAGAAAGAGCCAAATAACTTAAATATTATTTCAAAGCTTATTTTAGATTCAACAAAATCTGTGAAATACATTTAAATGCAAGCTTAGTGAAGTGACTTCCATTTGTAAATTTGCATAATACAACACCTACACAAACCACAAATCTTAACAGACTGTGACCAATAAAGTGATTTACGTAGTTACTTCTCAGTACATAATAGTAACATGCAACTTCTCAAAAGGGGCTAAATTGGCCCCTCTAACAGTCTCGTGGTAGTTAGACCAGTAACCACATCTTTTGGCTAGTATCTTTATGAGAAAGGAAGAAAGTGTTGGTGACCGCCAAATCATTTTCAGGATGTCAAAACTGCTGACTCATGGTCCCATGTCTTTCTCTAGACAAAATAAGGTTCAACGGAGAAAACAGGGGACATAAAACACAGGGCTGGCTTACACAATAGGTTTGGAAGTGCCAACTCAGCTATTTCTTTCTTCCTAACAATGTGACCCATTATTCCAAAAGTTACCATCCCAAGAATGGCCCTGACTATTCCTGGGTGCACTGGCCTGGCAGATGGTCTTTTTGCAGTGATGGATAACAATTAAATATTAATACTAAAACTTCCACGAGTGTATTCTCAATTCAGAGCTATAAAATATGCTCTAAAGAAATATAAACAGGTAAAATTTTTTCCTAAAAGGAATCAGGGTTCTTTGGAGAAATGGCTGAGCCAAGAAATAAATGAGATGAGGTAGGGACTTTTCCTGTCAAAAAGTAATAGTTATTAAAAGATGACACAGGAAACAACTGACAAAGGATTAATCTCCAAAATAATACAGTAGCTCATGCAACTCAACACCAGAAAAACAAACCACCCAATCAAAAGGTGGGCAGAAGACCTAAACAGACATTTCTCCAAAGTGGACATAAAGATGGCCAACAAACACATGAAAAGATGAACAACACTGCTCATTGCTAGAGAAATGCAAATCAAAACTATAAAGGGTATCACCTCACACTGGTCAGAATGGCCATCACTAAAAAGTCTACAAACAATAAATGTTGGAGAGGATGTGGAGCAAAGGGAACGCTCTTGCACTGTTGGAAGGAATGTAAATTGATACAGTCACTATGGAGATCAGTATGGAGATGTCTTAAAAAACTAGGAATAGAACTACCATATGACCCAACAATCCCACTACTGAGAAAATTGTAACTGGAAGAGATATGTGTACCCCATGTCCATTGCAGCACTTTTTACAACAGCTAGGACATGGAAGCAACCGAGATGTCCACTGACAGATGAATGGGTAAAGAAGTTATGGTACAATGGAACACTACTCAGCTATAAAACGTAACACATTTGAGTTAGTCCTAATGAGGTGGATGAGCCTAGAGCCTGTTGTACTGAGTGAAGTTAGCTGGAAAGAGAAAGACAAATATTGAGCATTAATGCATGTGTAGGTAATCTATAAAGATGGTATTACTGAACCTATCTGCAGCGCAGCAATGGAGATGGACACATAGAGAACAGACTGTGGACATAGCGGGGGATGGGGAGGGTGTGACAAATCACAAGAAGAGCAGGGAGACATATACATGACCATATAAAACAGACCGCCCTGGGAATCTGGAGGGAATCTAAGATGGGACAGTTTAAGCGTTAAAAAGAGTATTCATGATAATGACTGTGATAATTCAAATTTATGCAAACTTCTGAATTCATGTTGTCATCAAGAACAAAAACTCTCATTGCTACTAGAGCATTAACTTGTTATTATAAAAACTGATAAAGGGAAACAAGGGCTTCCCTGGTGGCTCAGTGGTAAAGAATCAGCCTGCAATGCAGGAGATGCAGGTTTGATCTTTGGGTTGGGAAGATCCCCTGGAGAAGGAAATGGCAACCCACTCCAGTATTCTTGCCTGGAAAATTCCATGGTCAGAGGAGCCTAGTGGGCAACAGCCCATGGGGGGGTTGCAAAGAGTTAGACACAACTTAGCTGCTAAACAACACAAAGGAAAATTAAGCATATTTTGCTTTTCCTGTATAAATGCATGTTGAGGGGTAAATCAAACTCACCTGAAACTTGCAAGCCTGCTACTTCCCTGGGAGGTGGTTCTTCTTAGGACTTGTAATTGCCAGAGTGTCTGGTTCAGAGAGGTTGTCCTTACTAGGAATTTGGAAAACAGGGCTGCTTTTGATCCTGTGCCACCCCAAATGTATGAACCCAATCAGAGGTACCATAACCACCAGAACTTTGTAGTCCTTCCAGAAGTTCTGAAAGCTCATAGTACTTCAGCATCAGTGTACCTAAGAAAAGGTCAACAGTTAAAAACAAACAAACAGAAGCCCTCTAAAATTACACCTCTAAAGCACAAGCAGAACACTGCCCTCTAATAAAAGCTGCCTGTTAAAAAGCTTCTAGGTACAATACATTGCAATGTTATTGAACAAAAAGAGGTAAGTTGCAGACTTACAGGGATGGCAGGAGATAAGGCTTGGAAACATACAGGGCAACACTAGAAGTTCAGTCAGCAAGCAACATCACCTGCTGGGAAAGCTGCCGAGAACACTCATGCATCAATGTCACTGTCTTTATATAATTAATTTCTCTGAACCACAACAAAGTTAAATTTTTTTTTTAAATCTATTTAGTTACAATTTTAACAGAAGAATCAAATGGCAGTCCTTAAATATGCAGTGAGAATTCAGATTCTGCATTCTGACAGGATGTGAGTGATGATGTTTCCACTGAAATGGAGTCATGCATTGGTCCCAGTTGTAGCAAGACTTCTGGCTTGAACTCTATGAATTAATGCCACCTCCTCATTTCTGTACTGAGCCTCTGTAATTAGTGTTTACCCTTATCACTAATAACTATACACTATAAGGGTTATTTCTGCTTTATTGACTATGCCAAAGCCTTTGACTGTGTGGATCACAACAAACTGTGGAAAATGCTTAAAGAGATGGGAATACCAGACCACCTGACCTGCCTTGTGAGAAATCTGTATGCAGGTCAGGAAGCAATGGTTAGAACAGGACATGGAAAAACAGACTGGTTCCAAATAGGGAAAGGAGTACGTCAAGGCTGTATATTGTCACTCTGATTATTTAACTTATATGCAGAGTACATCACGAGAAATCAGGGCTGGATGAAGCACAAGCTGGAATCAAGACTGCCAGGAGAAATATCAATAATCTCAGATATGCAGATGGCATCAACCTTATGGCAGAAAGCAAAGAAGAACTAAAGAGGATCCTGATGAAAGTGAAAGAGGAGAGTGAAAAAGTTGGCTTAAAATGCAACATTCAGAAAACAAAGATTATGGCATCTGGTCCCATCACTTCATGGCAACTAGATGGGGAAACAGTGGAAACAGTGTCAGACTTTATTTTTCTGGGCTCCAAAATCACTGCAGATGGTGACTGCAGCCGTAAAATTAAAAGACGCTTACTCCTTAGAAGAAAAGTTATGATTGAACTAGACAGCATATTAAAGAGCAGTGACATCACTTTGCCAACAAAGGTCCATCTAGTCAAAGCTATGGTTTTCCCAGTAGTCATGTATGGATGTGAGAGTTGGACTATAAAGAAAGCTGAGTGCTGAAGAATTGATGCTTTTGAACTGTGGTGTTGTAGAAGACTCAAGTCCCTTGGACTGCAGGGAGAGGCAACCAGTCCCTCCTAAAGGAAATCAGTCCTGAATATTCATTGGAAGGACTGATGTTGAAGCTGAAACTCCAATACTTTGGCCAGCTGATGCAAAGAACTGACTCATTGGAAAAGACTCTGATGCTGGGAAAGATTGAAGGCAGGAGAAGGGGATGACAGAAGATGAGACGGTTGAATGACATCACCGACTCAATGGACATGAGTTTCGGTACACTCAGTGAGTTGGTGAGGGACAGGGAGGCCTGGCGTGCTGCAGTCCATGGGGTCACAGAGAGTCAGACTCGACTGAGTGAAATGAACTGAACTGATAAGCTTTATCGTCAACAAAATTTACTTGGAGAAACTAGGGCTAGGAACTTGCCTGGAGTTTCAAAGCTCAATAGTATTAAGTTTTTGTGCTCTATCTGATTTGGAAAGCATGGAGTGTGGCCCAGGAAGTCTGTTTCTGATGAACTGTTGGGTTTGGGATCTTAAGTCTAGACGACCTCTAAACACTTCTTACACTTTTTTACTCAAGGGAGCTCACTAGGCTTTAGTGATAAGTTTATACACTCATGCTCTGAGTGGACTAGCTCTCCAAGATCCCATCTGGGCAATGAAGGACAATAAGGACTGTTAAGAATTAGGTTCAGTGGCATGTATGTGAGTTCCATTATGAAATCGCTTATGGTAATTTTGTGTGAATGTGTTTAGAAAAATGTCTGAACAGAATTTTTACTTATTCCTTCCCTTTTAAGGCAAGATTAAATATAGGACTAATGAGCTACATATCTGAACTGTGTTCTGTATATACATATTAAAAATAAACAGAAGGCTTACAGTTATGCCTATGTACATATATTATTCCCAGCATTAGAAATGATTTCTCAAGGTACAAGTTCACATTTCATAAGGACTTTTTTGCTAAACTTAAACAAATTGCTAGAGAAAACATGGCCTGCTTTGTAACTGCAAGTATTCTTGGCCCTCTCTCTTCCCTCAAGGGCTTTGGCATTCTATCTGCTTTTTTGCAACCCTTAGCCACCATACCTTTTACTGACATACTCATGTTCTAATTTTCGGAGAAAGTCAATCACAAATAACTGTATCATGATTACATTTCCTTGTGGAGCCCACTGTGCAAAAGCCTTTGGGGCATTTGAGATTTGATGAACAACAAAACCTCTGAGGGAGGCCCTGGGTGACCAGGAATAATGAGGGAAAAGCTTGAATAAGACTTACTTCTGAGATGGAAGGACTGAGGCTGTACCAAAGTCAATGGTCTGTGTTGACAGGTGGCATTTTCGTCCACAAAATACCTTGAATTAAAGGATCAGAATATACTGTCCTTTCACATCCAGTCTCAACACTTAAGGTGACTTTAACCATCTCCAACTGTCTCTTCTGACGTGAGCTTGTCAAGTCACAGCACTTTTCATAGACCATACCTCTACCTGTTTAGTTCTCATGATCACTAACATATCATCATATTTGTCACTTTTTCCTGAGTTATGAACTTTTAGGAAAACAGCTCATAGAAAAGTCTCATTTGGAATGGTGATGGTGGTGGTTTAGTCGCTAAGTCATGTCCGACTCTTGCGACCCCATGAACTGTAGCCCACCAGGCCCCTCTGTCCATGGGATTTCCCAGGCAAAAATACTGGAGTGGGTTGCCATTTCCTTCTCCATGTTTGGACTTAAAGAATATAATAATAAAGCTGAGATGAATAACTCAATAACTGAAATTCAGAATAAACCAAGGTCCAAGCTGTGACAGCCGTGTCTGGGAAGTGTGGTACGATCCCTCCATGTACAGTAGATGGCAGCATGAAATGCAATGTGCCAGGAACCCTCCTCAGATTGGCATCAAGGCAGCTCCCAGCACTCAGTACGTACGCCTTTGGGTCTTCCCTGGGTAATAAGCAAGCTAAAAAAAATCTGTCATCTTTTTGGTTTTAACAAAAATGGGATCGCAATATACACTCGTTTTGTAATCTCTTCTCCCTCCAATAATATAAATCTTCATTATGATTTTTAGTAGCTATGTTGCTTTTATGGTGATATCCTAACTTAACAGATCACTGATTGATAGAAATCTGAGATTTTTTTCAGGGTTTTATTGCTAAACATGCCAAGTACTCTTGTAAATCCTCCAGATCCACGCCTTAGCCTCTCTATGCTGCTTCTCAAGATAATACAGTCTTACTAGAATTCCTAACAATTAACTCATTTTTAAAATGAATTTATTAACAAGAAGGTTTTTAAAACTTTGACTTTTGCAAAGGTTCACAGTGCTGAGCAGCAGGGAGACAGGGAGCTCCAACTTGGGGATGGAAAACGAAGCCGGACACAGCTTTTCTTGAGATGGCCCTTCCCTCAAAACATTTGGCAACGAGTTATTACAAGTGGTGTGGAACTATTTTATGGACACAAGAGATTCCTAAGTCTGAAGCAAGATTTTCTCAAGAATATGCTCAAAATGATCACATTTGATGGGAAAAAACAGGCTGGCTTCTAAAACGAGTTAGTGCTTCTTCATTCACAGAGCGTTTCAAGTTTGCTTGGATTAAAGCAGCGACACAAACCACAGCAAGAAGACGTCTTCCCCTTCCTTACCCTCCTCCAGTCTACCTGCCACTGCCCTTATCTTTCCTGGATCCTCTCTGAACACGCTCCTAAGAAAAATGAAAACAGAGGGTGTGGGACTCTTTTACAAAGATGGAGGAAACCAAGAAAAAGGAAAAGAGGTTAGTAAATTTTACATTAAGTAAAACTGAAAGTAGATATTTACGATTTTATCCACTGAAATGCCTCTGTTAAGTATAGAAAATGTTTATAGGCCATTGGCACAGATGCTTTCTTATAGCCTTCTTTCCAAAACAGATTTTTTGCATTATTCAAAAAGTTTCCTATTTTTTCTTTTTGTTTTCATAGCAATTTTGAGACCACTTTATGTATGAGGAAACACTAAATGATTCTAAAATTATTGTCAGTTAATTGTGGCACTCATCTTGGAGTTTGGAGTCCTAAAGTTTTGGCTGGTATTCTTAATGGCAATTTTCAAAAGTTGAGTATTAGTATCTCAGCTTTGGCAAGAGTCAGTCAGAATTCCCAGTGCATAATGATGTGTGCTAAGAACATTCTAGGCACATGCTGCATACCTGTGCAGGTCACTGAGGGCAAGTCCCCCAGTGCATTACACCTGGCATGTCTTTATTCTCCAGGCAGGGTACACTAGAGGCTAACACATCTTGTGCCACTTGGTTCAGAATGAGAGGGGGAAAAAAGCCCATATCCTCCAAACACACACCCATGATCTACTAATGGATGAGACGAGTGGAACTAATTTTAGACGCTTTTTTTTTTTTAAGCTCAGTTCTTAGTGCAGAATGGTGAGAGATTAATGAAAAGAATGGAGAAAAGCTGGTTACATCTCTGCCCCACTAAAATATCATAATCTTTTTGACTGCATAGAACTGATCAGTAACGTGAAGAGCAAAAAAAACCACTTAATCCTAAACAACCTGGCTCTGGCTATCAGATTACTCTTTGTATGCACCATCACGTCAGTTAAAACCACAGAGTTTCGCTATCCATTAGGTTTACAATAACCCGGATGCAGGCAATGCTGGGGAAGGCGTTCCTTTTGCCTACTGGGCTTGCGGGGCGCCATCTGCTGGCCTTTTGAACACAGTGTAAGGTAGATTCTTAACGTCTTCATCACGGCTCCGTTTAAAGTATTTGAAGAAAAAAAAAAGTTTAAAACATTTTTTAAAATTACTGAATGTAATTTAAACATGAAGAGAACACTAAATGGAAAGCTGAACAATTAATTAACCCAACTCTTGTGGCTGTGATATTTCATTAAATTTATTGAAATTGTATAATGCCTTTTCTTCTGGCGTGACGAATGTTAATTTTAAGTATCTGTGAATTCCTCATTCCTGAAATCTAATTACTGACCCTGAATGTAGTTCTTTTTATCCTCAATTTTAATACAAGTTCACATTTTGGCAATTTTGTGTACATGTTAGAAAGGACTGCATGGTGTCTTCAGGCCTATTGGACTAACTGGTATGCTAAAGAGAACAGTAGTTCTTTTTTAACCCCCTTTTCTAACGACATTACCTAAGGTAACAGCTTTGCTGAACTCTTCCAGTCTTGTCAAAACACAAACAACAAAAAACTTACTGTCAATTCTTGATTAACTGCGTGGACCATCTGTGTTAGTCGCTTAGTCCTGTCCCGACTATCTGCGACCCCATGGACAGTAGCCCGCCAGGCTCTTCTGTCCATGGAATTCTCCAGGCAAGAATACTGGAGTGGGTTGCCATTCCCTTCTCCAGAGGATCTTCCCAACCTGACCCAGGGATCGAACCCAAGTCTTCATCACTGCAGGCAGATTCTTTACTGTCTGAGCCACCAGGAAGCTTACAGAAAAATACGGAACGCTTCATGAATTTGCCTGTCATCCTTGCACAGGGGCCATGCGAATCTCTCTATCGTTCCAATTTTAGTATATATACTGCCGAACCTGAGCTCTAAGTTTCCTTTCTGCAAAATCTTACCCCTACCTTGACCAGCAGGCAGTAACTGGTCAGAATCAGCTGACCAGCACAGCCTGGTCTGGAGCGGGTCAGGAGCAGGCACAGGGCATGGTGAAGGCGTAAGCATTTTACCATCTCTGCTCTCCTCTACTCCATTACTGTGAATTCAGTGTCTTTATAAATACGTAGTATACTGGAAGCATCACAAGTTTTATATGGGGGCTTTAACTGTCCACAACCTAAAATGTGAACAGCAACTGAATAATTAGCAACTAACAAGGAAAAGATCAGCTTTCTGGCAGGCTGTGGCTTATCAGAAAGGTGTGGAGAGTCATCATGAAATTGAGAGTTGTCTGAGAACCTTTCCAGTCCCTTTCACCATCTTCACGGCTGCCTGCCATCTGACATGGAAGCTGGTGGGGAGTTACGGAAGACGTGGGCTGGGCTCTTAGTGCTGCAGCAATGCCTGTGTGTTCCCCCGGTCAGCTCTGAATCTCCAAAGGCTTGGTTTCTGTCCTCACCATTTCTGAGGTTCCTATTTTACTCTCCACCTTGGTTTCTGCAGATAACCTACTGGCCAGAAGACACTGTGGCTCCTGGGTATGAGCCCCTCTGCTTCCTGCTCCCACGTGTTAAAACCTCCGTCTCAGCTCCCATCTCACATCCTTCCTCACTCTCTCAGAGGAGGAGGACCTGGCACTTCTGGCCAGTCAGTCCCACCTGCCACTGTGTCTTCAGGGTCCCAACTCCATCACCCCACTCCCCCAAATTCTACTTCCCATCTCCCACTTGGAACTGGTCTTCCTCCTTGGCAAAACTGTTTTTCTCCGCTGAAAAGAACCAAAAGCAAATTCTCTGAAGCCACTGCGCTTTACCGGCCCTTCCTTCCAGTTACTAGACACTCTGATTCCTTTCAAATAACACATTTCTAGAGCCACTTCCATCTTCACACCCAAGTAATCTGCTTTTGTTCCACTCTCCACGGAAACTGCTTTGACTTATCTTTCCCCATAATCTCTCTGCAGCACTTTTGAGGAGTTCTTGAAACGCTTTAAGTACCTGAGGCTACTGGTCTCCTTTAATGGTCCCTCGGTTTCCATCCACCTTCAAAGCTCTGTCCTTGGCTGTCTTCTCCCTCTGTTCATTTCCTGGGTGTCCTCATTCACACCCAAGCTTCTGCTTTAGCACATCCATCAGTGACTCCCATGCCTGCATTTCCATCTTAGTCCCACACATCCCACGATGCTGTTCCCCACAAGTGTCTAAACTCATCTCATACAAAAATGAATCCTCTTTCCTTCCCAAACTGCTGTTTCTCCTCTACTTCCTGCTTTCTTTTTTAATAAAGAAATTATCTACCACGCTCTTCAATTAGAAATCTGGATACAGTGGACTCTGATGTTTCTTACATTCCCCATCAAGTCAGTCACCCAATTCTCCATTTGACCTGACATTTCTTTTGCACAATTTCTCCCCACCACCACAGCCCTGACCCTCATTACCTCACTTGCTTCTAATCCAATGGTTCTGTGTGGTCCCTTCGCCACTGGCAGTAGCATCACCTGGGAACTTATCAGAAATGTAAAATCTTGGGCTGCCCCGGACCTACTGAATCAGAACTCTACACTGGGATCCAGTCATCTGTGTTTCAACAAATTCTTTAAGTAATTTTGACACTTAAGTCTGAAAACCACTATTCCATTCTCTACCCTCTTAATGCTGCCATCTTGGGGAAAACAACAACAGATACAGCTGTGTTGCTCAGAAGCCTTCAATGACATTTTTGACTAGAAGGTGAAACCTACATTTCTCTGTACAGCACAAAAGCTGGAATCTAGTTCCTGACTACCAGTTGCCAGAAGGTAAAGCACAACAAATCATCTTGGTAAGAATGCACTGTTGTGTAGTGATTAAGTGGACACGTTGTGGAATCCTACTGCCTGGGCTTTTCCATCTCTGCCTTAGCACAGTACAGCTGGCTGTGACCCTGGATGTTTCCTTAAGCTCACAATGCTCCAGGTCCATCATCCACAAAATGAGAATAACACTGACAGCCATATCACAAGGTTGTTGTGCAGTTATCACATACCTGGCACTCAGGCTGGACTCTGTTACAAAGATTCCAGAATGTTACAGAAAAGGTAACAGGTTCCAAAAGTGAGGGCCAGGAAAGTTCATCATGAAGGAAAGAAGGAAACTCAAGGACAAAGCAAAACAGCAAAGACAGGGTGATAAATTCATACTTGTTTCTCTGACAACAGTTAATGAAGTTAATGGTGCTAGGTGATTAAATATGAGGGTCCCAGGATAATGACGCTTTGAGTAATGATGGAAATCAAATTCTAACCTCCCCCACTAGGTATGATCTTAGGCAAAAGACTTATTTTCTGTCTCAATTTCATAGTCCGTAACATGGTGCTATATAATAAGAATTCCTATGTATTTACCTATGTAAATATTTATTGTTTATCCAGTATTTGATATACAAGCTTTCAATACAGGGCAGCAATTATTCTTATTGTATGTACAATATCTTCAATACAAATCAGACATAAAAACAGGCACTTCTGGAGACTCCTGTTTGATCCAAGTTCCAGGGAGTGTGGAGACAGATGTCAGTCCCAGGGCTGACTGGGGGAAAGAGCTGAAGTTATGCCCTCTTTCGGGGGCAGTGGGTATCCAATAACTGATTACTGCAGGGATATAGTCTTGACCCTTCCCTCCAACTTGGGACAACTCTGAGTTACTGTGAGACTTGGTAGACACTCTCCTTGGGACCATACTGCAGCTCAACTTTTTCTATCCACCATTCTGCCTCCTTTCTTCCTTGGTAAGATCCAAAAAGTCCTAACAGATGTCCTGGCCATAAATCTCCTTAGGTCTGCTTCCCAGGGAACCCCACGGAGGACAATCTAGAAACATCTTGTTCATTTATCAATGTACTTGTTGATTGTTGCCCCTCCCATCGTTAAATATAAGGTCAATGTCGTCAACGTGGCTTGTTTTGGTCACTTCTGTATCTGCTAACTAGGCAGTGTGACAAATATGAATATGAACTGCCGGTGTTAATGAATGCCATCAATGAAACTGCGGGCATAGGGAGTCTCTGAAACACCACCAGGATGTGAGCCTGATCTGGCATGGGAGGAAGAAGCATATGACTTCAGGAGGCCTTCATCTCAACAGGGTTTCCATGCCCAGAATGTCCAAAGCGCCAAGTGCTGCTTCTGCCGTCCGAGCCGAGTGCGGAGTGCTGCTGTCAGAGGGCGGCTCTCCAGGCAGACACAGGTCTCGGGCCAGGGCATTCGGCGCCTTCCTTCGGGCGCCTTTTCCGTCTATGTTCCGGCGGCCGCGCGGATCCGAGGGAGGAGTGCACACCTGGCGCTGTGCGCGCACACCTGGCGCTGCGCGCACACCTGGCACTATGCGCACACTTCGAAGCACCCCCGCCCCTCCGCGTTCCTCCCGGCAGCAAGCGCCCAGCGCCGAGGCTGCAGGTTAAACGCAGTCTCTAAGGAGCCGGCCTCCCAGTCCCGCCCCCGGTCTCCTTCAGTGACCTTTCCGAGCGGGAACGAGCCCCGGCCCCCCCCGCAGCCGGGCAAAGAGCCGGCTCCCCGCGGCGGCCCTGGACTTCTCACCTGCCCGCCGGCCTGCCGCCCGCAGCCCCCGAGGCCGCAACCCGCGCCGCCGCCGCTCCAGGAGATGGGCCCGCGCTGGGGACGGAGCATGCGCAACCCCGAGCACCTCCGGGCGTTGGTGACGCTCTCGGCCGGGGACGCGGTGGCGGCGACCGGAAGGCCGGGGGCGGGGCTCGTCTGGGGTCAGTCTGGGCACACTGTCGGAAGTGGAAACGTTAAATAACAGGTCACAAGGACATGCTGAGGCACAGTGTCTCCCTTTTTGCCCGCGCTTAAGAGGCGCTCATGGAATGGAACGTGACCAACCGCTCTCGGCGGGTCCCGGGCCTTCCGGCCTTGACCAATGGTGAAGCGCCGGATCCCACGGCTCGCGTCTTCCGGAGCGACCGCCCAGAAGACCTGGAGAGGAGGCGCCGTCGCGGCCGCCCCTGTGGAGGGGGGCTTGCGGGAGGCCCTCAGCGGCGCGGCGTCCGCTCCTCGTCCCCGGGGGTTCTCGCGGGCGTTGGAGGCCCCTGAGTCTGTGCGCTCGCCTGCTGGCTCATGTCCGTGCCGTCTCCCCTCCCGCTGATGCGTTCGAGGGCCAAGACGGCATTCTTCCGTTCAAAGGAACTGTGAGAGAAGTTAGGCTCATGGCTGTGTCACAATGCACCCGCCATTGAGAAAGCCACCTTCAGCTGCCAACCCGTGTTTTCTATACTCGTTCCCCATCAAACATTCGGGAGACTCTCCCTCTTTTTGTGCCAGTAATTTTCAAGAAACGTTCTGTGTCACAGAAATGCTGCGTTTTATTTTTCTCTCTCGGTCGCCCTTCCCCTGCCACAGCGGGTAACTGGTTTGTCACCGACCAGTCGAGCTCGCTTTGTTCGCGGTCTCTAGATAGAGGTCTTTCGCCGCCATGATTGCTTTGGGCCCTCACTGGAAGCCGCGAGATCTTGCACGGAGGACATTTTTGTTTTTGGAAGATCCCGCGCGCTCTTGCGGCCGTTAGCTTAGTGTTCGCCGCCATCTTAAGCCCTGGTTGTGGCTTCAAATGGGCCGCGAAGCAGCCCAGGCCATCTTGTGTTTGGGCGGCCGCAGGGTTTTGCGCGCCGGCAGCGCCGGGGAAGCGGGAAGGAGGTCGGCGCCCGGAACACCCGGGCTTCCAAAGGCTGGCTTGTGAGCCTGTGGCCGCCCTTTTAGTCTGAGTTTGCACAGCCAGGTACCACTTCACCAGTGACCCCGGACAGTAACTAAACAAAAGCCCGACCCCAAACCCTGCCACCATCGTAGGTAAGAACTTGGGAATGCTGGGAACCTAAGATGTTCCTTCCCTTGAACTCAGCTGTGAGCCCACCTCCTCTCCCGCTTCGGTTATTTCCTTTGATTAGTGAACCTTTCCTGAATCCTTCTCCTTGTGCTTCCGCCTCTCTCCGTTGTTTTAAACAGAAGGGTGCCGGAAGCCTGGGCTTGACAGTGGAAGTTTTGGTCTGGGAAATAATTATTATTTGGACGAAATGGAGTACAGTGAGTGGGCCAGGTATTTATACCAAACATCTACGTGTATTCAGTACAAATAGATTCCCCTTCCCAGATATTTTTTGGTTTGTGACATAAATACAGATTGTATTTGTATATTCATTCATTCATTTATTCAGTACATTCGTTGAGTACCTGGTGTGAACTAGGTTGTAAGGATTCTGTAGTAAATAAAAACCACTTTATTTCATGGAGTTTCCATTCTGTCACCTACTAGGTTGGGCAAGTGACAGCGTTTTCTGGTTCTTAGCCCTGCTATAGTGTACAAGCAAGTATTCGCTTGCTCCTTCCCCTATCTTCCCCCACTCCTTTTTCCTCCTGGACTAGGAATAAATCATAGTGACACTTTATTTCTTGGATCCTGGACCTGACTGTCTTTGTAGACGAACTGGTTAATTTTACAACCAATATTCAAGGTGCTTAAGGCCTTGCTGCTCCAATTGTGATCTGTGTATCAGGCGCTTGAGCATCATCTGGGAGCTTGTTAGAAACACAGTTGACTCCATCCACAGGCCCTGAATCAATCTGCCCTGAGAAGCACAACTTAAGTTCAGACAGCACTGATTGAGGACACGGACTGAAGACAAAGACTTTCTCTTTGCAACTTGTGCTTCTGAAACAATATATGGTCAGTTTACTCCACGCTTTAAATGCAGTGGACATGTGGTTTTATATCCGTCAGCTTAATGTCAAGATGCCAATTTAGCATTCTAAAAAGTTGAGAATTTGTCAGCCCCCTATATTGTTATGTAACATTTGCCGTGCAACACCTTGTGTCCTATGTACATATTTTTAATTTATTTGAAGTTGAACTCAAAATTCTATGTGTATTCAGTGGTTCAGTATCAACTTGGAAAACCTTGGACCATAGTTTGCCAAAGCTTTTCTGGCACTTTGCATTTTATCATTTTAAAATAACAAATCTAAGTCTGATTTATTTCAGGGGTTCTCAGCTTTGGTTGCTTATGAAAATCACTTGGGGTGCTTAAAAAAACAACAACACAGAGCAGTATCTGTAGAGTTTGAGATCCTGTGGATGGAATTTAAGGAAGTTAGGTATTTGATAAACAACAAATAAGTTTTATATTTTCTGTGTTGATGTTTGTTAGATTTTTCTCCCTTGTAGATTTACTTAAAATAATTATAAAGCGAGTTGGACTGGAAATTTGGTGAACTAACTTCTTAGTAACCCTTCAGTTTGCTGTTTATATTTTTGTGTCCTAAGCAAGTTATCCAGTCTTTCTGTCTTTCCTTCGTCCATCTAAATATTAATTGGGAAAAGAAGAATGAAGGTCCTGTTATGTTTTATTTAGTCTCTTGTGTATGTTGCAAGATGTAGTGGATATTTATATTCTGTGCATGTGAGGAAGAGAAGTATTTGCAAGTGCAATATTCATTGCTTCTGATTTTCCTATACTGTATCTTGTATATGCTGGTAAGCATAATGGGTCTTGGAAATGAACTCTAAAGCTAGCTCCTCCAGCTACCAGCTTAAACTGATTACTTAACCCTTTTGTGCTTCAGTCTGTTGTTGTTTAGTCGCTTTAGTCGCTAAGTGGTGTCCTACTCTTGCTGACCACGTGGATGGTAGCCTGCCAGGCTCCTCTGTCCATGGGGTTTCCCAGCAAGAATACTGGAGCAGGTTGCCATTTCCTTCTTCAGAGGATCTTCCTGACACAGGGATCAAACCCGAGTCTCCTAAATTGGCAGGCAAATTCTTTACTACTGTGCCACCTGGGAAGTCCTATACCTTAAGTTGCTTCATCTCAAAAATAGGGTTGATATGAGGGTTAGATAAGTTAATATAAGAAAAGTGCTTAAAACAGTGCTTGGCACATAGTCACAGCTATGTAAATGTTAATTAGGTATTATTCTATTTAAGTCTTAGGATTATTAAAGTTTTGTTCATACATTAAAATCACTAAGGGGGAAGGTATTAATATAGTATGCCAAGCCAGGAAGATGTGTGAGTGAGAGGTTTTTTTATAATGATCTTTTTCTTTTCTCCAAACAGCTTTATGGAGATATGATTGTCATACAGTAAATGGCACGTACTTAGAGTATTTTGTTTGATGGTGATTTACATGCATATACCAGTGAAACCAACACTTGAGTCCAGATAGTGAATGTACTCATCACCTCCCTAAAGTTTTCTCTTGTCCTTTTGTAAACCCTCTGGGCTTTTCTAGACAATTGCTCATCTGTTTTCTGTCACTCTTGCATTTCCCAGGGTTTTATCTAAATGGAATCTTCATGTATGTGCTGTCTTGCGGGGTGGAGTAGTCTGGTTTTTTTCACTCATAATTGAGCGCCATCTTTGGTGCAAATGTCAGTGCTTCATTCCTTTGTAATTACGGTATTCAGCAATTTGTTAGACTAATTTGTTTGCACATTTGCTAACTGAAGGGCATTTGGATTTTTATTTTCATAGTGGTCATTTTCACATTGGATAAAAAAATTAATTATTTGGTGGCTCAGCCTTCCACATATAGAGAACCTAGGAGGTGCCAGTGGTAGACTGTGTTTGTTTGGGACTTTGACGTTGTTTAGTTTATGAATTCATGTTTTCTGAATGAAATGTTACAGTTTTTTAAATACCAAACATGTCACATATATTGAGCTTTAGTGGGTTGGATCTCTTTTATTGAGATATAATTTATATATAACATAATAATTTCATATGTACAACACAATTTTTTGATATATGTATATATAGTTAGACAACTCAAGGGGTTAGGAGTGCTGACCCTCTGTGCTATTGAAAATCTGCATACAACTTTACAGTGACAAGAGCAGAACTCAGCCCCCATCTGAGATTCCACATCTTTGAATTCGACCAACTGTGGATCATGTGATACTGTAGTATGTGTTTATTGGGAAAAATCCAAGTGAAGTTCAAACCTTTTTGTTCAAGGGTTATCTATATAATAATAGTTTTAGTAACTGGTCACCATGTGGTACATTCCCAGAGCTTACTTATTTCGTAACTGGAAGTTTGTACTTTTTGATTCCCTTCACCCATTTTACCATCCCCTACCTTCCCTTCCTCAACACAGACCCCTGCCCCTGTTCTACCAACGACCACCAGTATTTTCTCTGTATCTGAGTTTGATGTTTGTTTTGTTTTAGATTTCACAAAAAGTGGATCATATTATATTTGTCTTTCACTGTCTTACTTATTATACTTAGATGAATGCCCATTCATGTTGTTGCAAAGAGCAGGATTTCCTTTCTTCATGACTGAATAACATTCCATTATACATATACCTACACCATAATTTCTTTATCCATTCATCTATCATGGACATTTAGGATGTTTCCCCTGTCTTGGCTATTGTGGTTAATGCTACAGTGAACATTGAGGTGCAGATACCTTTTCAAGTTACTGTTTTTCTTTTTTTCAGATAAATACTGTGAAGTGGAATCGCCACATGATATGGTAGTTATATTTTTAATTTTTTGAGGAACCTCCATACTGTTTTCTACAGTGGCTTAACCAATTTAAATTCCCATCTACAGGACACACGGGCTCCCTGTTTTTCACGTCCTCACCAATACTTCAGTTCAGTCGCTCAGTCGTGTCTGGCTCTTTGCGACCCCTTTGACTGCAGCACACCAGGCTTCCCTGTCCATCACCAACTCTTGGGGCTTGCTCAGACTCATGTCCATCGAGTCAGTGTGTCGTCCCCTTCTCTTCCTGCCTTCAGGCTTTCCCAGCATCAGGGTCTTTTCCAGTGAGTGAGTTCTTCGCATCAGGTGGCCAAAGTATTGGCCATCACCAACACTTAATTGTTGTCTTGTTGATGATAGCTGTTCTGACAAGTGTCAGAACAGCTCTTTGTGATTTTGATTTGCTTTTCTCTGGTGATTGGTAGATGAGAAAATTGGAGATTTGGAGGTGCTGAGTAGGCAGTCTGAGGTCATGTAAAAAGGTAGGATTTGAACGCATGTCGGTTTTACTAGAACCTGAGACCATGACTGCCTTGTGGGTCAGTTTCTGCCTGTTTCTGACAAAGTATTAAATAAAAATTAGATGTCATTTTTAGTGAAGCAACCACACAGGGCCAGGTGGGGATTTTCTGTGGGCCCCACAGGAATGGGAGGTCCAGAACTGGGGTTAGCTGACCACGTTAAGGGTATAGAGTGAACTGTGAACTTAATTTTGGTGGGAGATTTCAGTATATGACCTATATTTAAAGAAAAAGAAAAGAAAAAAATCCTAATTATTTTTTTTGTCACTTGCTTTATTCTCCTGTTGTTTCCATTTGTTTTTTTTGTTTGTTTTTGTTTTCAAGTTCACTTTGGCATTCAGAATTATCTTATGAATAATAGGAAAATCTGATTTGCTATTTTTTTACACTGTAATTACCTTTTAAAATTTTATCAAAGTTGTTGTCAGCAAGATCTTTACTCATTTATCATTTTTCCTTGGTGTTTTGTTAAAGTTTGTGATTCCTTCTTCATATTCTCCTTTTGTGTGTGTGTGTGTGAGATAAAATTAGATTGGGGGAGTAAGAGTAGCAGGTTATGAAATGATTTCTCATTCCTGAATTACAGTTGTTCCTTCATAAATTCTAGGGCCTTTGTTGTTTTAAGACAACAGAAGAGAGTATAACATATTCTTGGTAAAATTTGAAATCTGGGGATTAGAAGCCTAAAGCTAATTTCTGGTCTTTTAAATCTGGAGTAGGTGCTTTGGCTTCTGATGCAGACCAGCAGTGCTAGAGGGAAGACAAATGTGAATTTCAGAGTGCCTTGGATTTTCCCACAGAATAATCTAGAAGGTCACCAACTTTATTAGAGTTTATCTCTGCTTTGTATTTAAATGACAGGACAATCATGATATTGTTTCATCTATTTCCATTCCCTCCCCAAATTAATTTTCTTAAGGATTTTAGGATCTTTCCCTTTCCACTAAGAACACACATAAACACATTTTTGGTGAGGTCAGACGCTATTGAAGTCTTTGTGAAAGAGTGCCTGTTTTCAGGTCAGAGAAAA